GGCAATTCACCGGCGAGACGTGTTCGCGACCTATTCCCCCCGCAAGCCTGGTTGCCGAAATGGCAGGCGGTGTGTTTACAACAGCTTTTGGCATCATGATGGCACTGTATGAACGCGAGAAAACTGGACATGGCAAGGTGCGTTGGCAGGGTTTTATCCTCTCGACCACGCCAGCCTCGCACTTTGTCACTGATCCTAACTTATTCCTTGTTCGGTCTCTCTTGCTTTAGATTGTTGATGTCAGCATTGCCGACGGCGTATCCTACGTTTCGTCGCACTTTTTGGCCTCGCGCCAAGTTAGTCAGCAGATCTCGACCTCCTCCTTTTCCTCAGCGCTGTGGCCCAATCTCGCTAAACAGTGTGCCAATCTTCTCGACGGCGGAGCTCCCTTTTATCGGACATATGAAACGAAGGACAAGAAGTACATTGCCGTAGGCGCCCTCGAACCCCATTTCTACGCCAATCTACTGAAGGTTCGTTTCCTTAGCTGGGATGTATTGTTTTTGCTACGTGAAACATTTGTGCCCACCACAGCGGATCACGCGGGAGTTGCGCAGGGTCAATACGGGAGCCGGATCAGGATACGACAGGGGTTATTTTGGCAGCGTCCCCATAAAAAATGCCAGACACACTGGGAGGGCTGTGGCGACACACCTAAGTATAGGCTCGTGCCGCAAATTCTGTTGCATTACTCCAATATCACGTGTTTGCGGCAACGGTTTCCGACTGATTTTGACAATTGCAGCTCATCAAAGTCCAGCGGATCTTTAATGCGGCCTCGCAACAGAACTGTTATCCAGCAGCATAATTTTTATCGTATCTGTGTTCTTCAGGCTCATGTGACTTAGTCTGGCTTCCATATGCTGCGCATACTTATAACCGAAAGTGCGTAGTTCTCTCCTCGCTTATTGTGGTGATTTAACTCTACGAGGAGTGTTGCGCAGCGAGTTTGTCACCAGCCCTGTCTCACGAAGTTGCTTTCAGATTATCCTCAAAGCATCCGTCCACGTTTACTAAGTTATTCAGGCTTTGGAGTAGAGGGGGCAATATGCTGAGAATAAGGGAACATCCATCCGAAGACACGATTGCATGGGACCAACAGTCGCAGATGAGGCTTGAATCAATTTTGCGTATTGATTTAGATGTCCTATACAAAATTATCAAAAGAGAAATGAAGATAAGCGCGGCCAATCGCGACTGGATGACGGGGTGCAGTAGACGTGTATTAAATCCACAGTTTAGGAAGTTGGCTGCTTTTGTATGCTGCCTATACGTCTGACGACGAGCTCTGTAGCCATTCTCAAGTACTGGCCATTTTTTTGTCTCCAAAAAACCTGATGTATCTACTTCCTCATATGCACACCCTGTAGGAGCTTGGCATTCCCCCAGCTACGGCTCCGCAGATGGATCGTGTCGCCTGGCCACGGATCTCCGCCCTTTTCTCAGGTATTTTCATCACCGAAACACGTGAGTACTGGATCAACCAGAAGAACTTATTACAGTTGGCCTGCGTGAGTCCTGTCTGGAGTCCGGAGGAGGCCATCGCAAACCGGCCACCGCACACCATGCGCCCTATGTGCTTCTCCGTTTCCCCCCTCTCAGGTGGCGCTAAAAGCAGCAATTTTACTATACTGGTTCCGTCCAAATGTCCAATCCTCTTAGACTTCCCTCAGGAAGACAAATGAGTTTCTGTGCCTGCATTTGAACCCATTCACCCACCCCACCCCTATACGTCGTTGCAGCGCGGGATTTGAACTTCTGCATTTCACTCCCATATCCATGCTGCCTTCGCTCACTTTCCTTTTGAACTAGCTCTTGTGTGAAATTCTTTAGTATGTGCTCTCTGGACTGCTTAATCATTTCTTCCTTTCAGAGTCTTTTTTTCTCCTTGACCTGTCTGTTTTGTACATTTTTCCATTCATTTAGTTGTTGACGTAACTAAATTTTCCTGACACCGGCGACTTCTTTTCTCCTCCTCTTCGTACGCTTGCCTTCGGCTGAGTTTACGGGGTTTTCCGCTTTTTACCTTGTCGTTGTGACCTGTTTGTCCACTTTTTGTACACGGCCGCGTCCCCTTGAAGTCTGCCTCTAACCCCCCCTGCGTTTTCAGTTAATCACTGGCCACATCAAGTCGCATGCCGGTGGAATCTATTGTCAGGCGTTGTGGCCTCCGTTGCGGTTACGGTTTGGCCCCGTCTGCTCCGAATTGACTCGTCCCTGCATATGCTCATTTCGTCATCCGGTAGGGACCGCCCGTAGGATCTCTGTCGCAACAGAAGTTGGCAGGGGCCTTAGAAGTGACAAACAGTAACGTTTCAAGGGGTCAGTCGCCTGATTGCCCTAAAAGTTTGTTTTCCATTCCGCGGAATGGTATAGCTTGTCGAATTTAGTCTCAAACTCACGAGACACAGTCTCGGAGTTTGTTTCTTTCGTTGTGTCCACCCTTTCAGATCTGTGACTCGCGATCTTCAAAGAAAAATTCTTCTCCTAATAGGCATTGCCTTAATGATATTTCTGCTCTTAACATGACTGAAACGTCGCCCAGGGTGCTTAACAGTTGTTTTAACTGACACGGGAATAGGACCTACTCCTCCCCCCCCCCCAATACAGGCGACTTTGCACTAAATTTCAGGAAGGAAACCTATTCCTGTGTCTTGGCACTACCGCAAACTAAAGCCCTGCCCTAATCTCGCTGGCATTTGGCGCACGGGGGAGGGTTTCCCTTTCCTAAACCTTACGGCAAACGACCTCTATCCTTCTCATTTGCGGCTGCTCTATCCTTAAAAATGACTTCCCCTTGAACTACCAAGACACAAGGGATGGTCTTTGGGTCAGTTAGGATAATGGTGGAGAATTGCACACTGTTCAGAACTGGAAAAGTCATGTTACTCAGGTCTAGGTAGTGTTTTACGATACCTTTTCTTAGCAGTTTTTTACATCAGATATGAGTACGTGTCTTCTCTGGTATTTACCGCCTGTAATTCCACATGGTTTGATTTACTGTCTGCTTTCGACAAGTAAACTGCCTAACCCCGGCCATCCCTTCGGTCGTGGTGTCTGCTGCTGCTTAATCTGCCAGCATCCGTGCTGCGTTCTCCATTATGGAGGTAGTTACCTTTTGTGCGAACGGCATCATTGACTGTGGCTCAATAGTTGCGTCAGTGTACGATGCTTGTACCCATGCCGTCGTCCCTCTCCCCCCCCTTGCCCTCATCTAAGTCATTTCCTGCGGGCCCTCGTGGTGGCCTTAACACACTTACCTTTTGAGCTCCGACCGGCGGGATTTGAACGATGAACGCCAGGAGACGGTCTTTTTGTTAATTGTCTGATTGTGCTGCAGATGAGCAGTCCACCGGGATTCCCTGCCCGGCTCCCCAAGTACCTTCGTTTAGATTAGAACTATCTGATTATATGGCCTCGCCATCCCTTTACCGGTCTCCAGATTTGGCCAAACCTTTCCTCATCGCCAATTTTGCTCCTCGTTCACTCCACTGCCAGTTTCAGTGAATGGTAGGGCATGGCTATAAGTACTCCCCGTATTACGGGCGGCTTTGTGCTAGATTCCAGGGTGGGCTGCTGTTAGGGTTATAAGGGTTGGCACTAGACCTAGGGTTAAAGATAGGACACGGACACAGGTACTACCCGGGATTTAATGCAAGACTGCCTGTGGTACGGGGTGGTGCTTATACACTTGTCCAACGCATTGAAAGATCAGAGGAACTTGCCGACAAGGACAAGGCGCCTGAAGTGACCATTTCCGTCCTGTTTGACGTAATTGGTCTTTGATATCACAACCCCAGGCCGAGCATCTGTTTTTAACCGGAGCAACTTGATTGATGAGTACTTTTAGACCCAACGCTCTCTGGCATAGACATTAAGTAGGCCTGGAGTTACACAGCTAAACAGAACTGCCTATTTACATCCTGCAGTCAGAATAAACCGGTGAATGCCACACCCGTGCGACTGAGTTGTACCGGACGCAGCTCATGTTGAGGAGTGTTTCGCCTAAAAACTCTAATTTTAAGCCGACTCGGCTCCATCCCTTCGGCTAACTACAACAGCTCAACTCGGTATCTGGACCCTACGCCAAAACGACATTGCCCATCTCCGCCTTGAAATAAGGACCGATCGGTGGAACCCACCATGAAGGTGCCTCGAATACTTGTTAACCAAGCATGCGTAGACGATGGTTTGTACGGTGCTTGGGGGGATGGGGGTGTTGCCAACACGTTGGTCTTCCCATCTCATGCGGATTACGAAACTCTTGCCCCTGGAAGTAACCTGGTTAGACCACCTTGGTCCTGTAGTCTTGTGTATTCAACTATCTCCTGTCATTCCTCAGATCGCTATTGCCGCACGCTCATACCTATCTCCGTAATTTCTCATTAAACTTCGAACGACGTTTCACATCCAGGTAAAGCTATGATTTAACCATACAGTCCTGAAGCTTAAACTTAATAGCCCGCCTTCAGGACAGTACTAACGTAACTAAAGTGGAAGTAGTTCACCTCGTGATAGGCAGTTTAGGTTTCTTCACAATAGGAAGGCACCCCGAGCAGAACAGTTTCGCATATTTTCAGCTTTACGTTGAGATATATACCACAGAAGCCTGTGATTTTTTAAGGGTTGGACCGCTGCTGAAGAGCCCTGTTTCGTTTTCGTTTCCCATTGTGCTTTTCCCCGAGGTTTCTCAAGTAAACATACTTGCCCACAACGACGAGTCGGTAACTATCGACTCTTACATCATCGGCTCCATTCTTCATTCATTCTTTCCAGTCAAGACTCTTTTAAGATGTTTGGAGCCGTATTTGGGCGCAGTAATTTCGAGCCCCGCATACCCTCGTTTAGTTTGGTTTCCTCACCTAGTCTGGATCCACAAACCCAGCGTTAATGGGAGAACGTAGCCGACTATCCGGATGTGGTTTAATCCGTCAGTTGGAACGGTTGCAGGAGTGTAGCCACCACATGCGCTGCATCTTCGTTTGACTGCAAGTGAGGTTTGCGTGTGCGCAAAGCCAGTTTGATGTGACCAACTTTACGCGACTTAGCATATGAAACCTCATCCATCCCGCCAGAGTTACAGTGCATACCTTACGCTCCTTGACCTCTTGCTACTTGCTAATGTCTTTTGCCTCACTTTCTTGGCGCCCCGTTTTATACACCAAATTCCTCCTGTTCAGTGGATATACTACTTCCTCACCTAATAGCGTCCCTGGTCTGCACTCTCATAAGTCTCATCCCCTTAACTCCCTGGCTTCCTT